GTATTGATGGTTTATAGAGTGGAGAACATAAAACAAATGAGATTGGCATTTTAAAACAGGGTTGGCTAAAAAAATCAATTGATTGTTGGTTAAAAATACTTTTCTTTCAATTGCAAAAAAGGGTAGAAATTAATAACAAAGACTACTTCTTCACTCTCACGCAACAAGATTTTAAATAAAATGTTGTTTTCATTTTCCAATTAAACTTTTACTCTATTATTAACATAAATTTGTATTTAAACAATTTTAACCATAAAACTTTATTCATTTATTTGCTGGCAATTTTTTATGACGTTTGTTTTTTCTCTCGCTCTTTCACCATGTATTTTCTTTATTAGTTTTATTGCATTTTTAACCAAGTCAATGACCAACTGACTGACTGGCTGCCATTTGACTGCTTGGCTGTTGGACAGGCGACAATAAAAATTGCGGTCATCCACAAAAACAATTGCAAAAAAACATTTGTTATCGAAGTTTGTTTATTTTCTATGGAATTCTGTCAAGTCTTTCATACCGTTAGCAAAAACAAACATTTTCTTCTTTTAACAAAAGTGAAGGTATATTTGACATTAGATTTTTTTGTTTTTCTCTCTCAAATACAACAATTACAACGACAGAGACTCAAACTTTCAAAAACAGATTTTAAGATTTATCATGCTTAGATAAACCTTTGAAGTAGAAAACAAAAAAATCTAATCTAATGTGAAACAATTGACTTGCAAAGAATTTAAAACGACCATTGAAAAATAAAAGACATGATTTTCAATTTATTATGCTTCTTAAGTTTAAGATCTAAAAACAAAAGTAAAAAAAAAACGAATAAGCGAAATTATAATGAAATTACAGAGAATGGAGCTAGAAATAGTCAACAAGTTGGAAATAATCAAGAAAGGCAATAGTAAAATTGTGGGTGCCCTACCATATGTATTTTAATGTTATACATATTTTTGAAATTATGCAGGTTAAAATAATTTTTGTATGTAAACTGTCAATTTAACCTTACAATAAATTATAACCAGACACTGAGATAACGGGGGTAATTTTTCGAATTTCATACACAAATTTTTTCCATCTCTGATTTCAGCCATTCATTATGTTTTGTAAAAACTAAAATTCGTATTTTTATACCATACACTTCTTTAGTGGGGAGGTTATTATGCGTTTGTGCTGATGTTTGTAACACCCAAAAATATTGGTCCTACACCCTACTTAAAGTATACCAATTGAATCAGAATCACTTTCTGAGTCGATTAAGCTATGTCCGTCTGTCTGTACGTCTAAATTATACTCCCGATTTTCGTAATGATCGGTCCATATTTGACCCTAGGCCCCATACAAAGTCCCCTTCGGAAAATCACTAGAAGGTCAAAATTCACTTATAAACACTAGTATCTCGATTAAACTCTTCATAAATAACTGTAATGTTAATGTAAATCCCTCTACCAAAATGCATAAGGATAGGCCCATATTTACCATTGCCCCACATAACTCCTCTTTTTGAAAATCTCTTTTTTGTCAATAAATTGTTAAAATATTTCGGAGTTAAGGTAAAAAACTAAAATGCCGACTGTACTGTCTTACGTGTTTTACAATATTTTTATGAGTTGATTCGGAATTTTGCTGCTTTTAAATAGCAAACTCATCGAAAGCATGTCTGATTTGAGTAATTAAATATTTGTATCCCGAAGATAGCTGGGATCTTCAGAAAATTGTTTTCAACAGACAGACGGAGATAGCTTAATCGACTCCGATATATATAAGTATTCTGAATACATAAACATTATAGGGTCGTATATAATTTTTTGGAAATTACAAACGGATTGACAATCTTACAAGACTGAGGATAAATATATTTCCAACTAAATTTCGCTTGATATTAAATATACAAATTTTGAGCTTCTTCTCATTCGAGATGAACTGGTTAAAAACTGAATCTTAAATAGCCGATCTTATTGCAGGACTTTATAAAATAAAACCAGTAGTTTATTTTAGACCATTCTTTTCTAAATAAGATTTTATCTTAAACAAGGTAAATTTTTATATATAAAAAATCTAGCGGTTAAATAATATTCTTTTATAAATTTTCATATTTTTCATGCCTTCATGAATGAAGAACTGACTGAGGCTAAATGAATGAACGTATGATGGAGTGAATGAATTGTATGAGTGATAGATAAGGTCTGACAAAAGAACACACAATAAAAACGTTGAAAAAAATCTGGAAGGAAAAACTGTTAAAAATACAAAAGAAAATAAATGTAGTACGAATATATAAGTATAAATGTATGAACTCATATCTAAACGAAATGATCTTTAGAATAGAAAATTTTCAGAAAAAAAGTAAAGCAAACAACGCCAACACAACGTCTAAATACGAGTAATAATATAACTAAAGAAAAAAGAAAAAAATGTAATAAAAAATAAAAATAATATTTTTGTTAGTTTTATTATTGTAAAGTTAAAACACCGTAAAAAGCACAATAATATTTATAAAAAACACCCATAAAATGAATGCTAGTCATTTTGAAAAGATTTTAATGTCTATTAGATCTAAAAATATTAGTAGGGGACGACACATAAGACAAAATTATGCTGACAAAAATGTTTTTTTTATACAAAATAAGTATGACAAATTTTTTTAATTAAAAGTAAACATAAAATGTTAAGAAGTTGTTAAATATATTTAACAAAGAATAAAAGCTTTTCATAAAAAAATGTATTTATCAATTTTAAAAGAGAAAATACTTTTAAAATTTTATAAAGTTAATAACAGGTATTAGGGGGGAAAGAAAAATTATAAAATAAATCCTTTAAATATTTAAAAATGCTACATACCGCCTGCATTACATGGAAGTAGTTTAATAAGCTGGATTTAATACACTAAACAAGAAGAAAATTTTAAGGTTAAGAATGTTTTTTTTTTGCAATTTTAACTTCTTTTGTATAACATTTTCTTAATATAATTTTACTAACATTTTTATACGCAAATATTTTCTTAAACTTTAAGAACGAATTGAAACTAAAAACAGTAAAATATATTTTAAAGCTTTTTTTATCTTTTTCTACATATTAGTACAATACCGTATTAAAACACTTAAAGGCCTCTGCTCAGAGTGTGGCAAATTTTTCATTCATTGTTTTTGCTATTGTACAAGTACCAGACTACCAAGTACTAGAAGTAGTAGTAGCTACAAGTAGCCAAACAATTGTTGCATCTACTGAATACAAACAGCATTAAGTGTTTATTTGGGTGTGTGTGTATGGAAGTTAAGTTGATGTGGCAGTAATATTTGTAATACAATCAGATAGATACTTATCTTGATAGTTGTCTAAATACGAGTACTTATAAGTATGTATATGTATATAACTGTGTGTATATTGCCCCACAATATTATCCATTAATTTTTTTGTAGAAGTAGCGGAATGGTCAGAAGGAGGGTCTTTCCATTATAGAGGGTAAAAGAGGATTTTTTATGAAAAATGGTTGCGGAAATTGTTATTGTTATACCCTAGGCCACTATAGTGGGGAGGGTATTATGCGTTTGTGCTGATGTTTGTAACACCCAAAATGTTGGGCAATTTTCAATATAATTTGATTAAATTTGGCACATACTCTTCTTTCGACCCAAGGACGAACGCTATTAAAAATGGTTGAAATCGGGCTATTATTTCGCCTAGTCCCCATACAACTTTACCCCCGAATAGGGTAAATAACTTTGATGTAGATGTAAATTCCTCTACATTCCTACATTTCTAGGGATAGGCTCATATTAACCCTCACACCCATATGAGCCCTCTTGTAGAAAATCCTTTTTTTGTCAACAATAAGTTAAAATATTCCACAATTAAGGTAAAAATCAAATTAAATACACTATTATTTCAAAATTTTTTAATATTTTGGGTTGAGCTTTATGTTAGATTAGAACCAACAAAAGCTCAGCAAAAACTTGGTAATAACTTGTGCTTATACAACAGCTTACTTTAAAATGACTACTACATACCGTCTGCATTACTTTTAAGTATTCAAATAATCACGTATGTAAAATCTGTTTATAAGTTTTATAAAAAACATAATTTAAGAACTCCTGTGTAGGGTATTCCGTAATACGCTGACAACTCAGTCACCATTTCCCACATGATTTCTGTTATTATTCTTTTTTGTGAGGAAAGTTCTGTTTAGATTTGTAGCATTAAAAGATCTAAAGAGGTGTTAACAATAATAATAAAAAGTTTTTTACTTTTTCAATTGACAAAACGTTTAACAATAAACAGTAAAATAAACAGTTAGATTTTAAAACCAGATGTTTAACAGAAAAGGTCTTTCTTATTTTTTAAACACAAACGAAAACAAATAAATTAACACGAAATGTTAAACTGTGGAATATAATTATAAGGTGATTAAAATTAAAACCAAATATTAATGCCTTAATTGGTTTAAAATTTCTTTAAAGTGGTTTTTAATAAACGATAGTATAGAAATTATTTTATCTAATGTATCACAATAATTTCTTATGAGAGATCACTTTTGTAATGCTGACAATTCGCAAATAAATTGACACAAAAAATACACAAATTATCTCTAAATTTTTCTTTATATCAGAAATAAAATACATACAACTGATTAGTTGACATTTGTAACTAATTGAAGTGAATTGATTGAGTTTACAATTTATAATTTTATTTAGTATATAAGTTTTAATTGCATTAATTTATTATACTCCTAAAATCCTTTCACTTTTCTTCTCCATTTTCAACTAAAACTATCATTTTTCATTTATCTAGAGTACAAAAACCACAAAAACCTTTCCCCTTTGTATCGAAAAAATCTCTATACTTCTTTTTTTTCGATTTGAACTTTGTAATTAAAAAGTAATTTAATAATAGCATCCACTACAGTAGAGAGGAATGAAAAAAAAAAATTAAAGAAAAAACTTAATTTACCTAAACATTAAAAAAAAATATAATTTTTATCATTTTCCATTACTCTCCTTTTCTTACAGAAACATCAATATTACAATTACATTTCCAAATAGAGAAGAGTTTCACGTTTTTCATTAACATTAACAACATTTACGTTTTTTGCTTCACCTTAATTCTTTTTGTAACTTATTGTCGCTGGTTGGAATAACAGCAGCAGCGCTATTTAAAGATAAAGAGCTGTAAAATACGCCAGCCACTAGCAAGCAACGCATTTATAATTAGAATTTAACAAGCAGAACGGAATAATACAAGAACAACAACATCATCACATCCTTCTGCAAACATTTATTCATTCATTCGTTCGTTCGTTCGTTCGTTCCTCAGCTATTCATACGTTTAAGGACATTAAATAGAAGGGTTAGACTAAAAGGAAACACAGCTATAACCACTGCTCCAGCCACTAACCATTAACCAGCTACCAAACCAAACCGACTCCATAAGCATCTTTGTGGAGGAGCAAAAACATACTGAACATTTATTTTTTCAAATACACTCTAGAAAACAAAAACAAAAGAATAAATTTGCATAATTGAAGCTTAAGAGCGAACGTTTCTATGTTTCTGTTTGAGAAATAGATGAAGTAAAGAGGAAAAAGAAACTAAATTTGAAAATATTTTCACTTAAGGAAGTAGGTGAGTTATATGGAAATTTATAATTTTATTACTAAACTTGTAATTAAACGTCTAATTTCTATATTTTGACTATATACAAAGAATAAATTTACATTTTCAGAATTTGTGTGTGTGCGTGTGTTTTTTTTTAATAAATGAGAAGTAATTAAAACATTAAAGAAAATAATTCTAAATATTATTCGTTTGAATTTTAAGAGGTTTTTTAGTGGTTTTCGTATCAATACTTATACAAAAATGTATCAATTAAGGCAGGAGTCATGGCAAGAAATGGGTGACCATATTTTGCAAAGTTGTCGAAGATAAATGTATATAACTACCATCAAAAAGGACGTTAGGAGCTAAAGAAGCTAGGCTAAAATTTTCCTACTAATATTTTCAATCGGTCTACACTTGATCCTTCATATAAGGTCTTCTTCAGAATGTAACTTTATCATTCGTAACTGATAAAATTTCGCAGGAACAAGCTTTTTAAAAAACCCTAAATTCATCCGTAACGTGTTACTCTTGCTCTGCTTTGCATTTATAAACATGCAATTACAGTAACAAAATTTACCGTATGTTTATGTCTGTTGTTGTTGCTTGTTTATTATTTCTGTCTGAGCATGAACGAAAAATCTGAATTTTTGATGAAATTTTCAGGACTTGGGTCAGATTTTTGCTCAATCTACATTATTATCGGACCGGTTTTACTGAGAACGCTATTTAACATTTTTCCCGATCTTATGTCAGATAGAATTATTGAAGATTCGGATCTCGCAGATATCTGAGGACTTCTGAAAACTGATTTCAACATACACACGGACAGACAGACGGACTTGGCTAAATTGACTCCCCTATCTATAAGGATTCAGAATATATATACGTTTAAAAATATAGCTATTATTTGCTATTAGAAATTATTTACTCTCTCGAGTTCAATTCGGTTAATATCAAGGTTTTTCATTTGAGGTTAAAGTTCTGGGGAAAATTTTCAAGATTATCCTAAAGTAAATCTGGGCACCCTCAAGATGTACACATATGCGTGTGAAAAATCGGTAAAAATAGAAAACTTTCAATCACATTTAGCATCATTGTGCCAATGTTGAAATTGTCTATATATTTCTAGAATAATGTACATACATATGTATGTATGTACATTGTACATGTGTGGGTGTAGGAGAGCGAATGATTAAGTGTGTGAATGGAAATGCTAAGCCCGTATCATAATGATACGGTTTTACTATGTATGTCATTCGCAAGTTCATTCTCAGGATACACTGAGAAAATTATAATATTTTAAACAAAAATTTAAATTTATTTAGCATCATTTGTTTAGTAGCTTCTACATCAAATTCTATTTTTTATAAAATTTTGAAATTTTAATAAAAATCTAATTACTTATTAAAATTTTTCTAAGTGTACTTTCACCCGCTCTTTTAAAGTATGTTAATGTATTCGTACATTCTACTATTTTTAAACCCACGTACCTACGTTCAAACAATGATTTAAAAGGATTTTTATTTTTGGTCTCTATTCATAAAACCCCAACGACAACAGCAACTACAACAACAACAAAAATCCGATGAAATTGAAGAACAACATCATCCTCTTTGCGAATACTTAATGTCAATTTTAAAATCGATACTAGAAAATGACATTTTCGTAGGTGGAATATCTAAATTGCAAATTATAGCAAAATACAGTTTAAAATTGTTTTTCGTTTTAAAGCAAATAAATTGGCAAATTAAAAGGAAAAAACTCATGTTTTCCTTGACTTATAACTTTTGCAATAAGTAAAAAGAAAAGTAGAATAAAGTAGTCTTAAACTTTTGTTGGTGTTTTTCTCATTCTTATTTAACTTAAAGTTCATTTGAAAGTCTGTAGAAACCCAGGCAAAGATGTAAAAGAAACTTGTTAAATAATTCTCTTAAGACTATTGTAATTTTTGAGTTATTTAATGTTTATACATTATGGATTCCATGGCTTCTAAGTAGTCGAATATCCAGTGAGTTTTCAAAAGGGATGAGAAATATATTACACACTGATTTTATTTATATTTAATTTAACTTGTTATTAGTTTTGAGTATGAAAAAGTAATGGAATATATAAGCTTATATTGTTACTTCTTTTTTATGTTCTCTCTTTCGAATAATATTGGGGAAAAAAAGAAGACACGGATGTTGGTAAAATGAATACCTTATATTAGCCATTTTCAGGACTTAACAAAAGTTAATAAAAAAATTTTATAGTATATATTGTATCTTTATTGATGAGTGTCTCTGTAAGTTAATTGGAGTGTTATACTGTCAGTACAACGGAGGTCGTGGGTTTTATTCTTGCAATAATAATAACTGGCTTATTAGTGGCCTGTTGTAAACTGGTTCTTTCAAGCCCTTATTTTTGTTACTTGTTTTATCCTAAGCGGTCTGTCATATCATTTTGGGTATAGGGTATAAGAGGATCGTGTTTAGCCAGCCATAATTTATTACATTTTACCCACAATCATCTTCTTTTTCAGTCGACTGTACAATTTATATAAAGTCGTAATATAAAACATTTTAAAACATGGTTTAATATACTGCAACAGCATTTTATATGAGTTAAATACACTCGAAACATAATAGATAGTTATTTTTAGTTTATTGACCTCAATTATAATATGAAGAAAAAATTGAATCCCCTAAGAATACACATAGGTGTACAGTTATAACATCTAGCCACAGTTTCTGAAAATCCACTCAAAATATATGAAATTTTGCATAGATTTGTCAAGCAAACAAAAAACCTTAAATATCATTCATCTGATTTTTGTATAATTATTTTCTAAATTATTGCTAAAAATTTTGTATAAATATTACCAATATTTACTCCTCGAGCGTGACAAATAAACGTCAGTAGTAAAACACCATAAACTTTTAGTAAAAATTGTTGGCAAAACTTTTGTACATCATCAACACCGACACCGATACCCACTGACGTCATTATCATCAGGCAACACAACTCCTCTACCAAATAACTACAACACAGCCACTACTGCAACAGCAGAAAACAAGTTAATAAATTTTTGTTAAATAAGAGAATAACGAACATACTCAAACACACACACAAACACGGAGGGAATATGTGGTAAAAAAAGTTTGAAAATGTAAAGGAAACTACTGCAACCATGCAACAATAAAAGCAACAAATGTACCATATTAACTACTATTTTAAATGTTGCATGCAACATATGAGGGCAGGCGAATTTATATTAAAATAAAGTTGAAATAAATTTTCCAAACAGAAAAGGGATTTGTGGCAGTAACACAAGATTATATTTCAATTCTCAGGCAATAGTTAAGTAACGTAAATGATTGGAAATTAAATAACAGGAAAAATGGGAGTTTAATACGGCAACAAGAGAAATACTTAAAATGTAAAAAGTATTTATGAAAGAAAATAAATAAATTTGTTATTTAAAGTAATTTGGAATACTCTTTGAAGTATTTGAAAGTCGTAAATAGGATGATTTTATTACAGAAATATCTTACATACAAACTAAAAAAATGATTAGTAAAGAAATTAACATTTTTACTCATAATTAAGACACTCAGGCGTATACATACTTTTATTATAATAAATAAAGTATAATTTAAAGCTGGTGGCGTATGATTAATATTATTAAATATCTTTTTAACATTTGTTTTCTGGCTCTCAAATATTAAATTTAATTACATTTAAGAAAAGAGAACAGATTAGCTAAAATATATCAACAATGCAGTTAATGCTAACCACTAGTTATCTGGATATTGAAAACTATCAATCAACAGATTCCCTAAATTTCTATTAAATTTAAATACTTTTTGTTAACATTTTTGCAAAAAATTTCTTCAAATAAAACCCCTAGCTAAAACTAAATTTTAATTTAACTTTCATTGTTAATGTAGATTAAACTCATAAATTTTATATTATAAAAGCAAATTTGTATCAGGTGGCGTATGATTTACAAAAAAATTCCACTACTCATTATTTTTACTCCATTAAACTCTTTCTAGTTTATGAAAACACAAAATCTTCTTAGTCATTAAACATTTCTTATTTTTTTATTTATTATCGTCAAAAAGTAAACTTAAATATTTAATGTCATTCATAAAACAAAAACCCAAGAAAAGAAAACAACAACAACTGAATGAAAAATATAAAAGTATAAAAAATTCTTAATACTACTTCTGAAAAGTCAAACACCATCAAGTTTGAAATACATAAACACAACAGCAGCCAGAACACACAGTTACTGTTTATAAAATAAAATTCATTCATTCATTTTATTCATGACATTCCAATTTTTTCTTGTTTTGTTTTTGTTCTTCTGTTTTGTCTTATAAAAATGACAAATAAAAGAAATATATGTATAGAATAAAATAATACCGAAAAATTTTGACTTAAACATGCATGTATTCAGGAACCTAAAAATACAGATATACAAACATACATAAGGTCTTATTCATAAACATTTATTAAAGATTTATAGAACAAATTTTGTATGAAAATTTGATTTATAAACCTTTGGTAAAAGCTTATGAATAAGGTAGATAGAGTTTATTATGGATAAGAATTCATAAATATTTTATATTTTTATTTGTGTGTGTGTGTGTTTAAATCATGAATTTTGGAGCTTGTTATAAATTTTACCAGTTGGTATAGGGTGTTGTAATGGGAGTTGTAAAAATAGAGAATTTTTCATATGACATGAGAATATGAGATAACAATTACAAATAAGCTCATAAGAGAGTTGCTTGCCTTTTTCAGATATTATCTTAAAACTGTAGAGAACTCAAATATATTAGGTTTAGAACAGGCATGGAAATAGGACGAGAAATAAGCCCTCTGAATGTTTTTAATCTATCTATCTATTATCTATCTATCTATCTATCTATCTATCTATCTATCTATCTATCTATCTATCTATCTATCTATCTATCTATCTATCTATCTATCTATCTATCTATCTATCTATCTATCTATCTATCTATCTATCTATCTATCTATCTATCTATCTATCTATCTATCTATCTATCTATCTATCTATCTATCTATCTATCTATCTATCTATCTATCTATCTATCTATCTATCTATCTATCTATCTATCTATCTATCTATCTATCTATCTATCTATCTATCTATCTATCTATCTATCTATCTATCTATCTATCTATCTATCTATCTATCTATCTATCTATCTATCTATCTATCTATCTAACTATCTATAGATATCTATATTTTATTGGAAGTTTTTGTCGATCGTGTACGAGATCGCGAATTTAAGAATGTAAATAACACTCTACTTTAAAACTCTCAATATTTCGACAGTAATTTAAGCATTTCAAACAATATAAACGAAAAAATAAAATAATGTTGCAATGAAAAAAAAAAAAAACAAGCAAATGATGAACAAGAATATAAAGGAATAAAATCGCACGCTCGAATTATTTTCTTATGGAAAGAAAACACGTTCGTTTTTAACATGCTTCATAACAACAGCTTGTCATAAAAATTATTATTAGAGATTTTTTCCAAATTTTGTTTTGGTAGCTAAAACTTTAAAATTTCATTAAAATATTTTAAACAATAAAACAAACGGGGAGAACAAAAAGGAAACTTTAAATTTTTTTCTGCAACATTGTTCTTTTTTTTGGTTTATTATTATTCTTGGGAAATATTGTGAAATGTAAGCAATTTATTTATTATTAAATAACAAACAAAAACACTAACAAATAATAAGAAAGTAATACGAAAATGATATCAACAAATATAAAAACAAACAAACAAAAATAAAATAAAATGTGTTTCCTTTGCTTATGGTTTTTAAAATAAATTCCCAAATTGTAAAACTCACTTTTACACACAGACGCTATTGATCAAAACTTTATGGCTGTGAAAAATTCATACAACTACAGCAACAATAAAAAAAACAATATTTAACCTGACTGGAATATAAATTTTGCAAAAAATCATAATAAAAAAAGGCAACAACAATAATTACGACCAAATTGGGAAAATGTTTAAAGAAACTTTTGGTTAGTTAATTAAATTTTAGAAATTTTAAGGATTTCATAGAAAATTTTTAAACAACATTTTTTAAGCTGCTTAAAATTTTTAATTTTATAGATAAAGTTTTTGGCATTAATATGGATAAATTTGAGAATTCAAAATCTATTTTTAAAATAAACAGGAATTTAGTTATTATTATGATTAAATTAAATAAGTTTTATGCAAATTTAGTTTCCATGTCCACATACTACTAGTATTTAATAATTCATAACATTGTGAGGTTTTTGGTTCATTATTTAATTAAATATTTCCTGTTATTTGACATTTAAAATAGTATTGGCTAAAAAAATGTATTCATTTGAAAATTAAACATCAGAAAGCCATGATTGTTGAAGAAGTCATACAAAAAGCAAAAAAAAAAAAAATAATAAAAATGAAAACTAAATAAAACTTTTTCCTAACATTCCTATTTCTATTAAAAAAGAAAAAAAACAAAAGAAAACTAAAAACTTTCTTCATGACTTGGTAATTGTTCCCTTAAGCTCATTTTAACTTTTTAACTGAAATTAATTACAAATTCAATTAAAAAAAAACTAAAGTAAAATGAAACGCAAAAAGGAATTAAAACCTGGCGATTAGTTTACAATGCCATGATGCAATAGGAAGCGGATATAACGTATTCAAATGGAAAATTATTAATACGAATAAAACTGGCAGACAAACATGGGGTACAATGGAAAAAATAAAGAATAAAACAATTACAACGTAATTGGAAAGAAAATTAAAAACTAACACAAGGTAAAGTTTTCTCTATGTGTGTTTGAGTTTCAACAATTTTAATAGGAATTATTTAGAAATTATATTATTGAGTTGTCATCATTCAACGACAAGAAAACTTAATTAACAATATTAGATAACGAAGCGTATTATTGATATGGAATGTATAGGGCTAATTTGAATTGCAAGTTGTTTTAAATACTGAGGGCGTTTTAATACTTCTTGTATAAAATTGAAAACAAAAAATAAAACAAATAATTAAAATCGGCTTTGACATTGACTATGAAATTGGAAAAAAAGTACAATTATTTTTTAAATGTCTCTTAGTAATTTACAAAGAAAGGAAATTTGTTGTTTTACCTAGAATTTTTGTTTATAAATAGAGCGTATGATTAATATTTAATTGAAAAGCATGACAAAGTGTAGAAATATTAATCATACGCTTGTTTGTTCGGTTTCGGTTTTTTATGTATTTCTTGTTAATCATACGCCTTGTTGTGTATTGTAAAATGTATAAGATAACAAAGGAGTAGAAATGTGTTTGAAAAATTACATTTTATTTTAAAATTCATTCATATTTATTATTGATTTTTCTTTTGGCACACAAGTTAGACAAGGATGATGTATTGCGTGTATTAAGAGGAATTTTGTTTGAAAAAATGTACAAATATAAAAATATACAGAAAAAAATTTTAAAAATATTTTCTTAAAGGCCTATCTGAGTGAAAATAGTATTATATCGAAAATCGATGCTAAATATGAATAGGGACATATTAACAAAACAACTTTAATCAATTGTAAACATGATAAAATTTAACAAATTACAAATGACCTGTATTCACAAACGATTATTAAAGTTATACTTTTGTTTTCTATTTTTTTCAGATTAATTTTCGAAAAATAAACAGGTAAATATTTCAGAATAAACTTTAATCATTCATTTATATAAAAATTAACAAACGTAAAGTAATATTTCAAAAACTTGAGGAAAAGAAATTGACATGAAATTGAGCTTTTTACTGGGTTTTATATGTTATTGACACAACCAAGGGTATGACACTTGTGAATGATCGAGTATGTCACATTTTTACAGTTTATAAAATCGGATTAAAATAAAATTTATCTGAAAATTAAGTGACATTTTAAATTGCCCATAGCATTATTTTATTTAAATATCTGTAAACTAAATCCCGCTAATAATACAATTTCATATACAAACAAGACTACTCGAAACAAAAGACAACAAAACAAAAGAAATCATAGCAATTAATATTTTTTTTGTAATAAAGTTCATTGTACAGCATATGTTTCCATGTATACAATAAATAGTTGTTGTTACGCATTCTTTGACCAACTTCAAATCTTGACCATCATCATCAATATGATTGTTTTCTATTGTCTGATCAAAACCCACACAAAACAATATAGACACTCAAATGCAAAAAAAACTCATTCGTTTATTTGTTTAATTAATTAAAAACAAACTAATACCAATATTGTTGTAAATGTAGAAAACAATACAGAACTACTTGAGATTCATTGAGTAGTTTTTGTTTTATTTTTTTATCCAGCACTTAATGGTAAAACAAAAATCACAGAAACGACCATAATAAAAATAGAATGAAGTTATACTTTAAATGGATTAACAATTATATAAATATTTTTATGTAAAAAATTAATAAAAGCAAAAGAGAAAACTATAGAACTATAATTAAAAAAACCTTAAATTACAGAACCATAACTGTAAAGTAAAAAATCTATTAATCAATGAATAGAAAAATTAAAAATTTTGTCGATAAATATTTTAGATTTTTAAATTATCGTTAAAAATTTTGTTAAATGTGTCTTTAACTAAATTTTTTACATAAAATTACTGTTATTTAAAAAACTCCTTGGCTTTTAGATTTGATTTTTTCTAACAGATTTTTCTTATTTTTCCCTGGCTCCCCTTGGTTCTTCAACAGAAAATTGTGTTAAAACCCAATTTGTTGTTTATTTAAAGCATCTTTATGGAGAGTATTATATTTTCATTGGCAACATTTTCCAAACAACACAGTCAGTTACTGTCATAAAGTCTAATCCTTTTATGGTCAAAACAAAAACTAAAAGTATCAAGACAAACGGACGCACAGACAGACAGACAGATAGAGCAAATAAACGAAAAAATAAACACACTGAACTGAACCAAAAGTGTAGTCAAGTGTGAAAAATGCCATTTAAGACTTTCGTTTCTCTATTTTTCTTCCACTTTGCATGAACAAGATAATTTTGTTTCTACTTTATTTTCTTTTTTTTTTTATTCATTTTGCAACAAAATACCTAAAGATTAGAAAAATAGACAGAAACAAAAGCATACAGTAGTATTCTAGAAACAACAACAACAATAACAACAATATGTGTATGTAATAATTCATACAACCAACCAGTCAGCCAGCCAAACATAAGTAAGCAATCATGCATGCATGAAGTAATTTAAACTAAGCACTTTTTGTTCTAAATTCTTTTTGTGTTTTCATTTTCATCATCTTGTTATTTATATCATAAAATAGAAAATACTTCATCATATTTTAACAATTTTAACAATTTTAAATACACTTTTATATTCTTTTATATGAAAAGTATGAGTATTATTATTATTAATTCTTCTGCTTGTTATTTTGATGAGAAAACAACAACTGCAACAAGTATTTAATATGTGTAAAAGTGTAAAAATTTTTAATATTTTTTAAATATTTTTACAGTTTTAGTTTGAAATCCATTTATGTATGTAGTTATACAATGTTGAATGTTTTAGGTAGAAAGTGGTTTTTACATAAAGTGACTAATCCAGTTTTGTGATCACATAATCGTAATCGTATAAATCTACATAAGAAATATGTATGACATTACATTCTGCTTTTTAAGGCTATTTTCACGGAATGATCATTCAATATCGAAGTCGGTAATTCAGCCCCTGATCAATGAATGTTCAAAATTATATGAATACTCTTACCTCAGAAGAAATGACTCAAAACTAGTGCCGTGACCGCTTCTTTGTTGTAGTGACCGGCTTCTCTACTAAAGTTGACAACGCAACATTGTCAACATTGCAACAATTAGTTGTACCAATCTAAATTTTATACACATCCGTTGTCTAAAAGTTAACAAACGTGGTAAGCTCACAATCCATTGTCAATAGTGAGCTTACCACGTTTGTTAACAACGGATGTTATTGAAAAAAAGTGTCAATTTGGTACCAGACGTGTATATTTATTGTTCCCTCTGTGTACAAACATGAAAGTAATCATGTATACCCTGAGTAAATAAGAACATAAGTGGACTTATTGGTACTTTTTCTATTTTGATGGAATGAAAATCTTTAAAATTGCATTTTTTGGAACTTTTTTTGTTCTTCAACTAGTAGGGTCAAATGAGGCCCGATCATTACGAGAATCAACAGTATCATTAAGACTTGTTTTGCAGATTTTTGGAGTGATACAAGAACATTTAACATATTTAGGAACTCAAAAGCCCTATTCGGGGGTACGGTTGAATGGGGACTATAAGAAAAAAAGGACCGATTTTAAGCATTTTCAATAGGCTCCGTCCTTGGGTCAAAAGAAGAGTATATGTCAAATTTCATCAAATTATCTTGATAACTGCGACTTGTCACGTGTGCACAAGGTTTACATGGACACACAGACGGATGGACACACAGACGGATGGACAGACAGACGGACGGACAGACATAGCTAAATCTACTCAGAAAGTGATTCTGAGCCGATTGATATACTTTAAATTGGGTGTAGGACCAATACCCTATCCATTATTGTGGTGTAGGGTATAATTATTTGTTATCATGACGATTTAACAAAATTCTAAGTCATTATTAATAGATAATAAAAAAACGTATAAATATTAAGTTATTTTTGAAACAAAATGTTAACAATAACTCAACCTTAAGGTGACAATTTTAATTGTTAAAACGTGGTATTTTGGAAAAAAAATGAAACAACTAAAACTAAACAGATTTAAAAATTTATTTACTCATAATGGTAACTAATACAAATCTATTAAATAATTGTTGTAACTACAACCAGAATTATGTGTTTAAGCGCATGCCAAAGCAGTTGGATCAGACAGAAAAAAATCTTTGAAGAGGAAAAGAAAAAAGTATTAATAAATAACAGCAGGTAGATTTGATTTGTTTTCTGTTGTTTTTTCCTTAATGCTCGTACTAGTGATTTATTAGTTACAACCATGAACGTTTTTTTTTTTTTTTGCCATAATGACAACATGATTATTATCAAATTTATTACGTAATTTTAGTTTTAAACCTAAACAAAAAATGTATAACTAAATATGTACATGATTAAATGTTTAATTTTATTTTATAATTTTGTTTATACAGACAATTCATTTTATAATAAACTGCTCAAACCCATTTTTTGCCGTTAATTCAGTCTAATTTAAATTGTTGCGTGCTTTGGTGTGACAATTTTTAAAATTGAAAATAAGAAAAAAAGTGGGCAAAAAACCAAAATCAATCTTAAACAATCGAAAAAAGACTAGAAAATGATTTAAACAGTTTTATAAAACAATTTTATTAAAATGTTACACAGTCAGCCAGTCAGTTAGTAAATTTTCTTGATTGTCAACAGTTGTCTGCCAATTTAAGCCAAAAAACAAAAAAACTAAAACGAAGTAAATTAAAAGATAAATGAAAAACTGATTATTTGTTTTATTTTTGCTGACTTGACTTGAGTCACACTTTTAAGACGGTTTATGTCAAGACAAATTTGTGGCGTTAACAGTTTAACCCATAAAAGGCAAGCTTGAAATTGATAGAAAACGTATGTATGTCTTATATACACAATGGTATGTAGATATTTTTAAAAATAAAAAATATAATTTTATTTAACTCAAGTACTTGTAATTGTCTTCAGCAACCAAAACTTAATTAGTCCTCTAAAATTTACCACTTTGTTAATTTTTCGACTAAATTTTCTGGAGTTAATTTATTAATAAAAAACAAAAACTATTTCTATTTCGGACTTAATCTTATTTACTCGTTTTATTATTTTCAAATTGCTACTTTATGTATAAAACCCATCTTAATGATATTATTCCACTTGGCGTGTTCAAGAAAATGTACCAGTAAATTCCCATCATAATTCAAAATAAGAAACAACAAAAACGAAAAAAAGAACGAATCACGAAAACTCTAAAAATCTACAAGAAGAAAAACTTCGAAAGAGTTTAGGTTACTATGTCAAGTTAAGAAAATTCTACAAAAACAAAAAAGTGGCTAACAGAAAATAACTCAACACAAAAAAACAACAAGCGGAAGCCCTTAATACACCGGCAACCAACCAGCAATGAAGAACACAAAACTTTACCAGAAAACAACAACAACAGTTGTTGTTAAAAAGAAAAGCCGAGGAAATTTTCTAGACTAAACTAAACTGAGTAAAAACCAAAAAGAGGAAAAATTTAATACAACTTTGTCTTTTCCATAACTCGGTTAGTGAAACAATTTATTTCCTTTTGGCTACAAACAAAAACAACTTCAAAACAAATATTTAGAGGCGTTGGTTGCATATAAGCAATATACATGGTGCATGGGATGCAAGGAGGAATGTTTGCCTATGGTTGGATTAAAACAAAAACATGATTGTTTTTCGAGTTTTTTGTTATTTGGGAATACATTAAATTAGCTGAGAAGATCAACAAAAGTGCTGAACATCTGTTTGAGGGTAAAATGTAAAAAAATAGAAATTGAACATGGTTAAATATTTTTAATAGGTATGGGTAGACTTAAAGATGCTTAACAAAAATTTGCCCAAAATTAAAATTTGTAATATAGCAAAACTATGTCCAAATTAAGTGAAGTCAAGTAGTCCATTACAACACCCAACTTAATTTCGCA